TTGAGTTTTATATATAAAATTGAATTTTCCCATTTAACAGTAACACCAAATTAGAAGTATGTTTTACTTGAAAATTTCTGTCTCTCCAGACACAAAAAAGAATCACAAAACTTTACCATAAACTCCTTAAAAAGGGGATCCACAGAATGGGAATAAATCTTTTGCAATGACATATCAGACAAGGGACTCATTTCTAAAATCTAAAGGAAACTACAACACCTCTACAAGAAACACACACACACACACACACAAAAACAATTAAAAAATGAGCACAGGACATGAACAGACACCTCACCAAGGAGGAGATCCGGCAGCCAACAAACATGAAAAAACGTTCACAATAACTAGCCAATAGAGAGATGTAAATCAAAACAACAAAAAGATATCATCTCATACCAGCAATAACAGCAAAGATCAAAAAAGTAGAGGACAATAAATGCTGGCAAGGAAGTGGAGAGACTGGGATGCTCCTGCATTGCTGGTGGGACTGCAAAATGGTCCAACCTCTCCGGAAAGCAATATGGAGCTTCCTCAGAAGGTTGGAAATAGAAATACCATTTGATCCAGCAATTCCTCTACTTGGTATTTACCCACAAGAAATACGAGCCATTACATGAGTAAATATATGCACACCAATATTCATAGCAGCACTAGTTACAATAGCAAAAAGATGGAGACAGCTTAAGTGCCCATCAACTGAAGAATGGATAAACAAACTGTGGTACATATACACAATGGAATATTATGCTATCTTGAAGAACAACAAGGAAGCTGTAAGCTGTCACATAACATGGATGAACCTTGAGGACACTATGTTGAGTGAAATTAGTGAGTAACAAAAGGAAAAATACTGCATAGGACCACTACTGTAAAAGACTAAGAAAAAAAAAAAAAAACGCACTAAAGGGGGAAGGGATTCTTTGCTGGTTACCAGGTTATGGGAGTGGAGTGAGGGGAGAAAGGGGAAGGTGAAACACAGGGTAGGGAACAGACACAGGATAGTTTGGGTGCTAGAAAGAGGGGCAGTACACAAGAAAGGGGAGGGGAATGGAAGAACAAAGCAGATGGGAGAACAATTAGGCAGGTTTGCATGGTCTAAGTGGGACAGAGGTAAATAATGATGTATGCACAACCCTGTAACAACAGGGGTCTGGGATATAGGGATTGAGACATGGTTGGAATGGGGAAAAGTGGGGAAATAATGTTAAGATGCTTGGCTGTCTTTTGAATCTTGGCTTCCCTGGCATACACTATAAAATAGACACTTGAGGGGGAGAGAAAGGAATAGCCAGAAATATCACCATAGAAAGCTTGTAAGTCCGTCTTCTGCCTATAACTGATTGGAATACC